GTGGATTGCGCCACATAGATTGCACAACAAATGTTGCTCCACGTCGATGGCACACTTACGGTGCGCACCACATAGATTGCACCACTAGACTGCACCACGTGTATCGAACATCATATATTATATTGCGCAACGTAGATTGCACCACGCAAATTGCACCACGTATTTTGTTCCACATAGGTCGCTCGACAAGCAATGTGCAACATACACTGCACACCATATATTGTACGACGTAGGTCGCATACCATTGATTGCACCACGCGTGCTGTACCACATATCTTGCTCCACATCTGTTGCACAAATATTGCTAGGGATTGCTTGGGTTCACTGTGGTCAAAATGCTTCTCCTGCCAGCGATGTTCGGGGTGGTGTGTGTGTGTGTGTTCCTTGGTCCTGGTTGGCCTTCGGTCGGATGTGGCAAGTGGTGTCGCGTAATAGGGAACCGCCATCAAGCTGACCCAATCCGCAAACCGTGTTGTTCGCCCCCGCCCCCCCCGTCACTACACGAGCAACACCCGACCTTCGGCCACAGGCAAGGGCCGCTGCCGACAGCCACCGGGAACAGTGCAGACGCAGATGCGCGATGCCCGCGAGGCGCGCCCCGCGTGCCAGGCGCGCCACGCGCAACAGGTGCGCCACATTGGGCAATGTGTCGGCTGGCCCACCGTCCTTGGGTCAACAGACCAGTGCAGCGTGACGGCGTGTGTGCGAGCACTGTGTGTTGTGCGTTGATGTGCCCCCCGCAGTCACCTTGTGGGTGTTTCTGACAGGGATCGTAGCTGGCGTGCGGAAAGCAGGCAGGATGCAGGCAGAATGCCGACCCCACCGCCGTTTGTGGTACAGTGAGTTTTCATTTATTTAATCGCTTCGCTCATTCCGCCGGCCCGTATTGGTGCACGGCTGTCGAGTGCCCGTGTGATCGTTGTCAATGGGGTGCTGTTGGGTCGTTTTTTTGTTTATGGATGGCTGGCTTTGGGTGATTTCGCAGGCGGGAACCATTCTTTCCCCGCCTGAACCTTCTGTTTCGGAAGGTGGCGGCTCGTGAATACGATCGCAGGGAACAAGACAACATTCTGCAGTTTCCTCTTTGCATTCTTCGGGCCCCTTGTCGCTTGTTGGGGCCTCTTAGGAGCCTCTTGGGGCGTCCAGGAGGCCTTGGAGCGGAAGGCTCGGATGTTCGGTTCTCCATCTTGGGCCTCTCTTGGGGCCCTCTTGGGGTCCTTTTGGACCGTCTTGGGCGCCTCTTGGGCTGTCGTGGGGCCCTCTTGGACGGTCGTGGGCCTCTCTTGGAGGCCTCTTGGGCCGTCTTGGGGTGGTCTTGGAAGCTTCTTGGGCCGTCTTGGAGCGTCGGAAAGGCGAAAAGGCGAGGAATCCCAAACCCTTGAAAAACCCAATGGAAATCAATGGTTTTGGCGCTCTGAGGCTTCGTGGACGTTCATTGGGATCTCGTTGGATGCCTCTCGAGGGCTTCTTGGAGACTCTCGGGAGTCGTTGTCGAGCCTCTTGGGGTCTCTTTCGGGCCCCTTGTCGCCTTTTGGGGCCTCTTGGGGGCCTCTTGGAGCCTCCAGGAGGCCTCTTGGAGCGGAAGGCTCGGATTCTCGGTTCGTGGTCTCCATGTTGGGCCCCTCTTGGGACTCTCTTGGGGTCCTTTTGGACCGTCTTGGGCGCCTCTTGGGCTGTCGTGGGGCCCTCTTGGACGGTCGTGGGCCTCTCTTGGAGGCCTCTTGGGCCGTCTTGGGGTGGTCTTGGAGGCTTCTTGGGCCGTCTTGGAGCGTCGGAAAGGCGAAAAGGCGAGGAATCCCAAACCCTTGAAAAACCCAATGGAAATCAATGATTTTGGCCTCCTGGGGCTCTCTTGGAAACGGTCGGGGCTCTCTTGGGACGTCTTGGAAGCTTCTTGGGCCGTCTTGAGGCCGTGTTGGGCGTCTTGGGCTGATTGTTTGGTGATTCGGAACCCTCTTGGACCGTCTTGGAAGCCTGTTGGGGCCCTCTTGGCGCGCTCCGGGGAGCGTGGAAGGCCGCACCCAGGAGGAAAACCATCTCTGATCTGAGTTTGCCGGGAGTGTCCCGGGACCTTGCCGGGGTACTTTCCGGCCGGGGACCCCCAGGGGCCGCTCCGCGCGCGCGAAGTACAGAGTTGTTGTTAACCAGTTACCGGAGATCTTAGCACGCCTCTGGCCCGTTGGGCTGGCGAATTTCCCAAGCAGTGCTTGCATTTCTCGAAGAATTTGTTATTAAGGAACTGGGCCTGTTTGTCGGTCTAGCAGCTATGTTGCCGCCGTCGCCGCCCCGTCGTCGCCCCGTGGCCGCCCGTCGTCTGGACCTGTCGGTTGGTCTGGCGGCTATATTGCCGCCGCGTCACCGCCTCGTCGCCGCTCGTCGTCTGGGCCTGTTTGTCGGTCAGGCGTCGCCACGTCACCGCCCCGTCGCCGACTCGTCGCCGCCACATAGATTGCTCCACATAGATTGCACAACATTGGTTGACAACATGGACTGCACAACATTGATTACACAACGTATGTGGTACAGCATCACCTATATATACATTGTACCACATCTATGGCACGCATAAGTTGCACGACATATACTGCACCACATATGTTGCACCACATCTATTGCACAGCATATTTTGCACCATAGAAATCGCACCACATGTATTGTACCACAGAGATTGCACAACCTGTGCTGCGATACATACTTTGCCCAACCTGCAAAGCAGGGGGCCGCTTGTCTCCCCCCTCCTGCTGTTGCGGTTTCTTCCCTCTTCCTGCGCTCTTCGCCCTCCCTCCTCCCCCTTTCGTCGTCGTCGTCGTCGTCGTCGTTCGCCGGTCGCCGTCGTTGTCGTCGTCGTCGTCGTCGTCGTGGTCGTTGCCGTCGGGGGGGGGGCGATCCCCTGCCTTCCTTGGGCTTGTGGCCCCTTAGGGGGAGGTGGCTCAAGAGTTTCACTGGTTTCAAGCCCGGGGCAGCGCCCCCCCCCCTGGGAATTTCGGCCACGCCCGCAGGACAGCGGACACTGTTGTTGTTTTGAGGAGAGCGCCCTGCCCGATCCTGGGGCCTCCAGAGCTCATCGCGTCGGACAACTTGAGTGCAGAACGCGGGAATCCTGAGACGGGAAGGCGCGTTACTTTCCGGCCGCCACCAGAGTACACTGCAACATACGCACTCGTGGCAACCACCGTGTGCACCGCGGCTGCGGCGCCTTCCTGGCCACCTGGTGTCAGGTCCCCTGCTCCTCCTCCCCTTCCTCCTGCGTTGTCCCGTGGCGCCTGTAGTTATCTCCGCTTCCTCTCGCTACCACGTCTCTGGCAGACCCCGGCGTCGCCGCCGGGCAACCAGAAGGGTTGTTTCTAGGTGTATCTCTCCACTTTCTCTCCCCCGCCTCTCCCCCTCTGGTCTCCCTCCCGTCCCGCAGCATATAGCATATAGCGCTCCAGCCGCGCCCTCGACACGATGAAAACCAGGGGCAGCTCTTTATCAGTGCATCTCGCGGGGCCGCATCCTGGCCTTGTTTGTCTCACCCTGTGTCCGCTATGTGATATCGATGGCTGTTCCGGCCGCAGGGGATATTTTCACGAGGCACGCTTCTCTTCCTCCTCCCTCCTCTCCCCCTCACCCGAGTCCGGGGCTGCTGCTGGTTTTCGCTTTCTGCCGGCATGCGCCGGCGGAGTTTCGGCCACGCTCGCAGGACTCACCACCCACCAAACCACCCCAACCCAACCCGAAGGCTCAGATTTACCCTCGATTTCCAGTGGGGGGGGTCGGGAAACGTCGAAAAAACACGTGTGGAACCCTTACCCCCCCCAACCCGAAATTCGGGTTTTCGGGTTGGGTTGGGGTGGTCTGGCAGGCCTGGCGAGCTATTCTGCTTTGTTCGTCGCGTGGTCGCGGGCAGATCGCCTCGTGGGGGGGGGCAGCGGATCCTGCCGTGCGGGTGCCCCGGCGTAGCTTTTCGCCAGTCCCTGGCACTCGCTCGCGCTCGCGGGGGCGGCTCGTCGGTGCGTGGTCGCGGGCAGGCAGCCCCGTGGAGGGGCAGCGGGTCCTGCCGTGCGGGTGCCCCGGCGTGCCCATCTGTTCGCCAGTGCGTTGCATTCGCTCGCGCTCGTGTGGCGGCTCGTCGCTCGGTTGCCAGTCGCCCCCTCGGCTTTCTTCTTTCTCCCCCCCAAAGTGATAATTACAAAAGTGATAATGCAAAATGATAATAGAAATTTTGATAAAAGTATAAGGCTCCTTCTCCCCCCAAAAATTAACAGACAATGGAAAAATGACCCGTGAGGCCCCAGGTAGCCCCAAGAGGCCCTAGGAGACCACCAAGCGGCCTTCAGAGGCCCACCAAGATGCCCTGAGGAAACCCACGTAAAACCCCAAGAGGCCATTAAGAGGCCCCTTCTTCCTCTTCCTCTTCTTATTCGTCTCATTCCTGTACTCCTCCTTCTCCTCCTCCTCCTCTCTGTCTCCCCCTAAGTGTTCCCCCAAGGGTTACCACAATGGCTCGGGATCAACACAGTACGATAGCTTGGCAAGACTTCGGCCCAACTTTTGGCCGCATACGCGTTTCTAAAAGGGACCGGGCGGTAGTGGCGTCTTCGGAGGATTCACGTACAGATGATTCACATGACCTAATGGCACTCCATTTGGTATCTCGAGGGCTTTGGGCAGGAGGAGCGGCATGTTGAAATACAGGTGCAGATATAGCGCACATGCAGATAACATGCAGACAATTCTCATACATTACAGAAGGTGTCCTGCGTGGGTACACTTGCAATTTGTAGGCACTTGCACTGTTGGGTAGTCAGCTCTCCCTCCCACCTCCACAATTTCGCGATGACGATATCAACCTTGCCGGGCATGCTGGCCCCTTCATTCTGTTCATTGTCATCCCCATCGCTTTCATCATCCTCGTTGTCCTCACCGTCGCTTTCATCCTTGCCGTTCGTCGTCCTCACCGCTTGTGTCATTACACTTGACGCTCGCATCGTCCTCGTATCGCTCTTGTCGCCTGTATCGTTATCGTTGTCGTCGTCACTACTTCCATCTTCATGGACGTAGCCATTGTGGCCCAAGGTATCTGGTGTCGCTGTGATACCCAAATTACCAGGCAGGTGATGCCAAAGAAAAAGCGTGAATACACAGAAGAAGAGATGGCGCAATGGGAGGCGGAAGAAGCCGTTAAGAAAACACAGAGACAATCGGCCTTTGATTCATTGGCAGCCGAGTGGACTAGCCAGAATAAACCATTCAAAAGCGATTTCATTGGCACGTATGAATGCGATGATGTGGCAGCTGCCGATCTAGTTCGTGAAACTCTTGGCATTGTGGTGCAGTCAGATGCAGCTTGTCCAGGTCGTACTCCGAAGCCAATGGAAAGCTGGGCGGACATAGACATCCTGCCTTCGTGGATTAACAGGTCTCTGCAAGAGCACGGCTGGCCGTCTCCCATGCCAGTGCAAGCTCAAGCATTCCCAATCTTGCTCGCGGGGCGCAACCTCATTGGCATCGCGCAGACGGGCAGCGGCAAAACGATCGCATTCTCGCTGCCAGCCTTGATTCACGCTGAGGACCAGCGCCCCCTTGCTCGAAACGACCAGGGGCCAATCGTTCTGGTGCTGGCTCCCACGCGCGAGCTGGCCGTCCAGATTGCCGAGGAGACGGAGAAGTTGACAAAATACTCACACGACAGCCCTGCGCACCCCTCTGGCCTGCGGACGACCTGCTTCTATGGAGGAGGCAGCAAAAAGGATCAGCTGTGGAGGTTCTCGGGCGAGGGCTCGCACATCGTCGTGGCAACGCCGGGCCGCCTGCTGGACTGCATCGCAGAAGGATCGGTGTCCTTACAGCGTGTTACGTACTTCTGCCTTGACGAAGCTGACCGCATGCTGGACATGGGCTTCCGCGGTGACATGGAGCAGCTGAGCTCCACCATCAGAGCCGACAGGCAGATGGTTTTCTTCTCTGCGACTTGGCCAAAAGATGTCGAGAGCCTTGCTCACAACCTGTGCACAACTGGGCAGCCTGTCACTATACGAGTTACGGCAGCAGGCAAAGAGAGTGAAGAGTTGGTAGCTCGGGAGGGCATCCACCAGGATGTTGTTATTATCGAGGAGCTTCCCGCAGGCAGGGGCATGGACAAGTGGGGAAAGCAGGACGAGATCAAGAAGAAAATGTTGGACGCACATTTAAAGAAGGTTTTAGCATCTCCTCAGGCAAAAGTCATGATATTTGTCAACGATAAGCTCTTCGCTGACAGCTTGGCGAACAAGCTCTGGGAAGAAGGCGTGCCGGCAGACTGCATGCACGGCGGGCGCCCTCAGGAGCGGCGCCTGTCGATCCTGGACTGCTTTCGGAAGGGCAGCCTGCGCGTCTTGGTAGCAACCGATGTCGTGGGTCGGGGGCTGGACATCCCTGATGTCACGCATGTTGTCGTCTATTCCTTCAACACCGCGCTGGAGTACATTCATCGGATCGGGCGGACCGGCCGAGGAGTAGATGGCACGGGACACGCCCTGGTTTTTTTCGAGTATACGCCCAAGAACGTGTCTGCCGCCGAGGAGCTGATCGATGTCCTCGAGCGGTCTGGACAGGAAGTCCCGCCTCAGCTTCGAGTGATTGCAGATGAGGTTCAAGGGAGGAAAGACCATCCTGACCCCGACAAGTGGCATTTACTAAACTGCCCTGGGCGCTTCCCTGCCCTGTTCGATACCTCCCTTGGGTGCGTTTGCTACACGGCTTCGCTTGTCGGGGTGCTTGTTATGAGGGTGTTTTTTCTGTTCCCTTGAGGTAAAAAGTGGTATCAGGAGAGATTTCTACAAGGACAGGGACGACTACACGAAAGACTGGCAGCAGGGCTATAGCAAAACATGGCAGGACTGGGGCGGCGGATGGTAGTGCAGCCAGTGAAGTTCTAAGGAGAGGTGGCCACTGCCCAGGCGTCGGCGACGCCGGCTTGCCCACATCTTCTTGGCGCCGAGTCAGGAGGGGAAGTGAGAAGGATAAGGCCTTCTCAGAAGGCGGCGGGACTCCCCAGAAGCCCTCGCGGAAGTCTTCCGTGTCTTCGGGGAAGGCTTCGAACATCTTCTCAGAAGGATGGGGGACTTCTGAGCCTTCTGAGAAGGCCCGCCCCTTCTTACTTCAGCCCCGTGCGCGCCGCTGATGACATGCTTTTGCCAGGCCAATTCGACGACAAGCCGTCTTCCCGGTCCCCGCCAATGAATCTTCACCGTGAGGCATGGTCTTGCGCGTTAAGAATATGGTAGCCATCATCTCCATCATCATATCGGTATCGTAAGTCTTGTTGCTTCGCGTATCCTCATTAGCCCATTGAGAAACGATGCCCAGACGAGTTCCCTTGATCACTGACGGATGAGCAGGAGGAGTAGGAGAAGGAGGAGGAAGAGGAGGAGGAGGAGGAATGGGGGATGATGAGGAGGGAGGAGGAGGAGGAGGAGGAGGAGGAGGAGGCGGAGTTCGAGCGGGAGGAGGGGGAGGCGGGAGAAGGAGGAGGAGGCGGAGGAGGAGGAGTAGGAGGAGGAAGGATTAGGAGGAATGGGGGATGAGAAGGAAGAGGCGACGGAGGCGGAGCGGGAGAAGGGGGAGGCGGGATGAGGAGGAGGAGGAGAAGCGGGAGGAGGAGGAGGAGGACGAGGAGGAAGAGGAGGATGAGAAGGAGGAGGAGGAGGATGAGAAGGAGGAGGGGGGGAAGAGGAGTACGAGGATGGGGGAGGAAGAAAGCGACGCGACATCACGACGACAGATGTCTATGAGCCTCATGGAGCCACCTTCAAGTGCTCTCTTGGAGCCGTTTTGGCACATCTCGTGGCCCTCTGTGGGGTCTTCTTGGAGCCTTCAGGCCCTCTTGGGACCATCTCGGGAGAATCTTAGGGCCGTTTGGGGACCTTTCGGGCCCCCTCTGGGGTCCCTTTGGGATCTCTTTTGGAGCAGTCTTGCAGGACATCGCTCATATAAGGGGGGGCAATTAGCGTCGCCCCTCACGAGCTCGAAACATTTTCTCTTGGGCTTCTCTTAGGGCGCACTTGGGACTTGGATCTCTTGGGCCGTCATGAAGCCCTATTTGGGCACCTCTTGGAGCCATCTTTGACCACCACAGAGCTATTCTTGAGGCCTCGGAAGCCCATTTGAAGCGAAAAGGTAAGAATGCACCAATGATGGATGTCCTGAGGTTTTGGAAGGATTTGGGCATTTTGGGGGCATCCTCGGGAGGCTCCGTGGCCACTCGGAGCCGTCTTGTGTGTGGGGGGGAGGTCTTAGGTCGTCGTGGAAGTATAGTGGGGCCCTCTTGAGCCCTTCTGAGCTGCCTTGCACACACACACATACTCGGCGGCAAAGCGCGCCGGGGGGCGGTCTCCGACTGAGCCCTTCTGAGGTTCTCTAGGGCCACCTCGAGAAGTCTTGGACCCATCTTGGGTCATCTTGTGCGCTCCAACCGCTCGCGGCCACCGTCGTTCAGACCCAGCGTAGGGGGAAGGTGGAGGGACATACCCTCCCCGACGGGGAAGAAGGGGTCGGAATACTCATCTTAATAACGATAGTATGGGTAAAGTAGTACGACGAATACCAATACTCGTCGAATACGGATAAATGATCTCCGCCACCTCCGCCCAGAGGGCTCTTGGGAGTCATCGCAACCATCATATTCATAGCCATTACCATAACCGACAACACATAGTTGTCGTCTCTAATCTTGTAATCGTCGTATCAACAGCATCATAGTGCTACCCGTTAAAACATAACAGTAGTATCAATCGCAGTAATCTTCACGTTTCCGTCATCATCCGCATTTGCAGAACCATCGCCACCGATGTGGAGCTCGCGGGGAGGGGTGGGGCCTCAGGGGGGGGGCGAGGGGCCACGGACCCGCCCTCCCGGACTCTGTATCTGAAGCTGCTCTCTGCCTGGAAGGCTCCAACCGCAAGGATTTGGCCGCGCAGCAATCGGACGCATCTTGGGCTCGATGCGTCGGGGGGCCTTCCCATTTAGGAGAACGAGCAATGACATAAACATAAAAACTCGGAGGTCCGCGCGGATTTCTCGGATCCTCGCTGGACCCCCCTCCCCGGCGCGCGGAGCGCGCCAGAAGCGGCGCCGGAGGCGCCGCCAGGGGGGTCCAGCGCGGATCCGAGAAATCCGCGCGGACCTCCGATTTTTATGTTTATGTCATTGCTCGTTTCCCTATCATGCGACAGTCGCCACCCGCACGGCAGTCTTGGCCTTCCCCGTCCGAGGGCGCGCGGGGGTTGGCTCCCGCGCCGCCTGGCCCAGGGTCGCAGAAGCGGTGCCCCTCTCCGGGAACGCACGGCCCAGGAGGGGACAAGGCGCGCAGACACAATTCAGGAGGGGGAAAAACACAGACACAATTAATCGTTGATTCCCCAGAGAATTTGGGGAAACATGGGAAGTGGGGGGGAAGACGAAAACCCCCAAAATATGGGGAAATATGGGGAATCTTCTCATTGGTGTGTATTTATTTGTGTGTCCTTGGGCCCCTTCAACAATTGGTTGTCGATCCCCAGGGAAATAAACTATTCTGGGGAATCTGGAGAGTGGGGTGGGGGGGAGACGACGACCCAGAAAGTCTTCGAGATTATGGGACAGTCTGGAATAATTGTGCATTCTCGGGGAAGCGTAAGACTCAGGTACGCCTGAGCTCGGGTGGGCCGATGCTCTTTGACGAGCGCGTCCTGGATTTTTTGACGGTTCAGTTTTCGTGGGATGTCTGCAGCGGGAGCTCGCGTCAAATTTCCGACCGGGCCTCGTCATTTTCATGACCAACCCGAGTCCCCCGTATCCGAGTCTTACGTCTCCCCGATGCAGTGGAGACCCATGCCAAGAAACACCCTGCTTGCCTCGGGGTGCCCCTGGTTCCTCGAGTTTCGATGGTTTTGCGATGGGAAGCGTGACGTTCCCACCAAAAATCGATGGACGTCCTGGGGTATCAGGTTTGAGTTTCTTTTGGAAGATTTCTTGTGGACTAGCCTTATGATGCTCCAACCTACTTTAGCCTTGGCCACCAGGAAGAATTTCGAGCGCCCAGAAAACTACCGAAACTCAAGGGTTTTCGCGTGTCGGGCCCTGGGAGACACTCGCCCGAGACTGTTTCGACACTGTTTCGACACTCTTTTGATACTTTTCCGTATGCGCGAAATTATTTCTGGGATGTGGTCCGTAGGTAGGATGGGAACAACATAAGACTAGCCTCCATCGTATGCAGGTGTGTCCAGGGCAAATTTCCGCGGTGCGCAGGGGCGCGAGCGCCGGCCGTGCGCCCTGCGCGTCGCGGGGCACGAGGCCCGCGAAGTCAGACCCTCGGATCGCCACGGGCGTTTTCGCCATGTTTCGGGCCCCGGGACGAGCACACGAGTTTTGGGCAAGGCAATTCTGCAGCCGATCTCCTGCTCGGAGATATGTCCACGTGCAGAGGGGGCTCCAGGGGGAGGGGGGAAGGCTTCTCGGGAGGAGGCTGCTTCCGGGAAGCCTTCCCCCCTACACTGAGATCCTGGCGTTGCAATTTTTTCGCCGCGGGCGTTTTCGCCAGGTTTCGGGCCCCGGGACCCTCACATATCGATCGGGCTCGAGAAGCACAAGACCCGCGAAGGCAGACCCTCAGATCTGGCGTTGCCGTTTTTTCGCCACGGGCGTTTTCGCTAGGTTTCGGGCCCCAGGACCCTCACCCAGACCCCGTCGCGCTGCGAGCAAAAATTGCGACGGGAGGTTTTTCGCTATTTTCGGCCTCTGGGGGCCCTTACCGGGTCTCGGGACCGTCGAAAAACGAGTCAGGAGGCAAAACCGGTCCCAGGGAAGGGGTCGAGACCTTCTGGGGGTCGACGTTGCCAAAACATCACGACGTCGGGGGATCTGGGCAGATCGATCCGGCTCGAGAAGCGGCGCAGAAAGCAGGGGTCCAGGGGTCCAGGGGTCCAGTGTTCCAGTGGTGGGTCGCCTTCTTCCTCCTCCTCCTCCTCCTCCTCCTCCTCCTCCTCCTCCTCCTCCTCCCTCTCGCAGTGGCGTCGGGCATCGCCCGGAGAGCGCCCCTGCGCCCGCCGATCGCGCCCCCTCGGCAGTGTACTCCGAACGGTGCGACGAAGTGAGGTGAGGCAGCTCAACGATGGTGCTTTTTGGCGGTGTTCCAAGCTTTTCGCGGCGTCGGATCTCGGGGGACGATTTCCCGGGAAGGGCGGGGGGGGCGCGGGGGTGTCGGGGCTCACGTAATCAGAGCGAGGATGGGATCGGCAGTCTGTTTGTAGCGCCCTCTCCTTCAGGAGCGAAAGAAGGACGTACATGTACATGAATCCACGCTGGTTTCGAGAGTTCGCATTGCGCGAATGTTCGTATCGCGCGGCAGGTCTCGAGGGTCAAGGGGCCGTGTTCATGTACATAGCTGGGCGCGTACGTCCTTTGTGGGCTCCCTACTCCTTTCGCCTCCCCGCCACAACAGAACTATACGCAGACACTCTCCAATGGGTTCTTCCTGGGCCTCAGGCGAGGGTGGCAGTGTAGAAAATCGCCACTGGGAGCCGGCGAGTTTCTTACACCCCCGCCCTCCTGGAGGGTACGCGCGAAATTCGTCGGAGGGGGTCTACGTACAGGTTCTCGTGGCGCGGCCTCCACTCCAAAATAGCGCTGGAGAGAGAGCACAGAGAACAGGGGGGTCGGGGCTCTAATGCTGGGGTCGGCGCTAACAGGAGGGCAGCCAGCCCCCTCTGGCTGGCCCGGGTTTGGGAGCCACTTGGGGCCCACTCCCCCCTGCCTGCCTGCCGCTGGCGTGGGTTCGTCAAGTTGCATCTTCGGGGGGCTTCCCCTGTCCCCCAAATTGGTGCCTTCTCTCGTGCCCGACGCGGGCTCGATGCGGACTAGACGCGGAGTTGGCGTGGAGTCGACGCTGATTCGACGCGGATTCGGCACGGATCCGCCGAGGCCGACACGGATTCGACACGGATTCGACGCGGATAGGGCCGCGACGGGACAGACAAGGTCCCCCGAAGATGCAACACAACCGATTCCCCATGGGTTCGGTTCGAGAGATACGAAGGCGGCCGGCCGGGCTTTGCGACAGGGTCCTGGCCGACCCAGGTTTGTGCGCTGGTGCTGACCTGGGTTGGTGCGTCTCCGAGGGGGTTGGCTCTGGCCTTTGCCGAGCCATCCCGTGGCGACGGGGATCCGATCCTGCATGGTGGCCCAATTCGCGTTTCGTGCACACACACACCAACGTCTTATCGCCAGCGCAGTGACTCT